AAAAGATATTTTAAGAGTGGAAAACTTTGAGCCATGTAACTCACCCTGAGTACTCCTGAAGCTTCAGCCCCTATCCACCAAGTCATTGCCACCAATGGCATCACTGTATATTCAGAGTTATATGCCAGGTGACTGGAAACAGAAGAAGAAATTATTCTAAGCAGTATGCAATCTCTGTTAATAAGATGCAAGCTATTTCATTTTAACACTTCAATAACTTAAATAGGTTTTTCCTTTAAGATAAGTCATTTGAGTAGATCAGAAATTCTGCTAGTGGTACGGTCTCTGTTCCCCTGCCACCTACCCAGTCGTACAAGAGTGATCCGGAATATCTGGCTTTCAAATGAAGGATGTGAAAGTAATACCAAAAGCAGTGTTAAAGCTTTGCAAAAAATTTCTAAAATAAAAGACTTTACAATCAAGGTATTTCTGTTGCTAGACAAATCTCCCAAACAGGTGGAGGGGTGAGTGGGGTGGGGATGTTCATTATGGAACCATTTAGTATCTGTTATTTTGAGCATTTATCCAGAATGCTTAAAAACACCAGAGAAAAGCAATGTTTGGCTATCACTTCTCTGCCATGCCACACAGTCACCTCTCCCACATCCTGCCTCCATCTTTGCTTCCCCTCAAGATAGAGCATTATATACCATAATTTAAATTCCAAGCATCGGTAGTAACTTTGGCTAAAAAGAGACAGACTGTAAAACCTCAGCTTCGTGTGAGACCAGAAAAGTACAATTTGATGAGTTTAAATAGTTCAGCGCTTAAGCATAACCAACAACTGCTCCTGAAAATGAGATGATGGAAATCTGATAATAAAGCTGAGGGTTTTGTATTAATGCAGTCCTGGAATAAAGAAAGAAATTGCAAGATTTTGATCCAAACATTTTGACATTCAATTCTGAATATCATCAAAATGAAAAATTTTGCCATACCTACATCAATCCTTTATTGAGCATCAGGTTTTTTATCCTGATGATAGCTTCTAGCTTCTTGTTCCCGTGTTGGTACAAGCCAAGCTATTATGGATAACGACAGACAAAACGTTAAAGGATGTGCTACTAATTGCTATTATTACTTTGTGGTTGTCCAAGTATGACACTTGAAAGGCTTAAAGCTAACATCTGATTCTTTCATTAAAACCCATCTCAGCTACGCCTCTGCTTTTATTCTCCTAAGTGCAGGAAGAGGCCCAAATAAGATGATGGTAAACATATTTTTTATTATAACAAGCAATATTTCCCTTGACTCCATCTATTTACCCCCTCTTTTCTACTTTAGGTTAAAAAGTGGTGGGCTTAGGGCTTTTATTTTTTTAACTTGTTGGTTTATTAAAAAATACTTGTGTTTCTTCTGTAAGTAAAAGTATCTTTATAGTTTTGTTGTTTCACTTCTGGCACTCACTGTCCTCTGAATGTTTTCTCTATGATGAAATTAGCCTGTGTTGGCATGAAATTCTGAGGCTAGAAAGGCAGACAACCAACTTGTGCCATTTCTCAGTTTAGAAAAATATTCTTAATCTGTTCCAATCTTATCAGCCAGTAGATATTTAGAAATTACTTACTCCTTTGCCAAAGAAGAGTTAAAGAAGCCACAGATTTCTAGAAAATTATGCTGGTTTATAGATAAAAACAACAACAAAAACCAAACAAGCAGCAAACATTATTCATCGCATAATGTAAATATTACATATCATTTTTTCTTTTATCTTTTATATTCTTTTCTTTACTTAGTTGCTACATTTTATATAGCTAATTTGGAGATAGGGGAATTACTTGATTTGTTACCTTGAGTATTTATAGGAATTTCAATATCCATTTAAGTATCAAGCATCTGTGTGTTTTACACTTAGGGGAAAATGAAACGTGTGCAGGTTTCCAAGGCAGCAGATGAAACAAGCCAACTTTACCATTGTTCTGACTTTTTCACAATGTCACTGTCTTGGATTTCACATCCAGATAGAGATGCTGTGAATAAATTCTATGGGTGAAGAAGCAGAAAATAAGGAGGAAAAGAGGATTTGCCATGTGGATTCATTATAACAATGTGGAACACAGAGTCTCACACACACAGGCTTTCCTTACTCCCTACGGGATGTCTATCTGTAGGCCTCTATCAATTTCTAGGAGATTTTCTATGTGAAAGGATCCTCCAGTTAATTTCAGTGTATAGCTTGGTTTAGATTTATCTTTCTCTTACGTCTTCTCTCTTCCTTTCCCCCTTTCAAACCTCTGTTAAAAGAGGTGGGGGTAGGGGACTAGACTTTTAAAAAAGAAAACAATGAAAACACTGTTATGTGTGTATCCTCAGAAGTATTTTATGAAAATACCACTGCTTCATGATGACTAAAAATACAATTTACTGTATTCTTCTTGCTGCTCATGGAAAAGACAGGATATCTACGCACCCATTATTCTTCACGTGTATACATCAGTCACGTCATTGAGGAACATGATGCTTCAGGCTATGGCAGAATGGCAGAAAGGAAAGGACAACAATCAGGTAGTGGAGAATAGGAGGGAGATACTATACTGTCTGAGTGATACACTCAGAGACACAGACCGTACCGTATGTATGGGCTTCAGTATATTTTAAAATGTGGAAGCGGGTAAAGAGTGACTCGCCTTGTAAGTTTAAAAGACGGACTTCACTCTGATACAAGCTGAGAACAATTCCCTCTTTATCTGACTAAAAATCACGGGAACCAACACATAAATCTACAGGCCATGAAGCTGCTCCTTTCAAATGTGATTTCTAACATAATTTTATTTCCTATTGGGTAAAAATAATTATACCTGGCAATCACCGTGGCAAGCCAAGGGAGAGACAGAAAAAGAAAACCATTAATGTTGTGCTGTGAGGGACTATTTCTAGGGTCACTAGGAATGTTATTAGGGTGTTTCAGGGTGCTATGGCCCTTCCTTCAAAAAAGACAAGCTAAATGTTAAATCTAGATCTTTATTAGCTGAAAGGCATTTTATCCACAATTCCTGAGAAATGAATGAGATGACGTTTGGGTAATACAGGTAACGCTTTAAATATTTTTCTAAGTGTCACTGATCTTATCACCCTGATCTGGAATAAAACCTGTTGAAATTGCATTGTAAACTGCTAAAATAAACTGTGTGACTGGCCAGGACTGAAACTAACTTGTGTCTTTAAACTCAGTATTTCTCCAGAATCACTGTAATTTAATTGAAATAGCTCTGCGTGTGTAAACAACTCCTTTGTTTAAAGAAGATTTCACTGTTTAGTTTGCCTTAAGTAAATGCTGCCTTTTGTTTGTCTGTAAAACATTTGATTAAATGTAAAGACTTACATAGACAGCTTCTTCTCATTACACTAGTGGCTGGAAAATAAGTTAAAATGATGCAGGTATCTGCTGTCTAAGGAAGTATCGAACAATATCATTTGTCTTTGGAAGAAAAACCCATGGAAGCATCTTAAGGCTAGTCCTAAAATCAAACTACAGCGTTCCTAATACCAAGATGTTGTTATTTGAAGAAGTGTTGAAACTGTTCAATATACCAGGCTCTTTTCTTGCCTTCTTAAAAAAATATTTTCTAGTTTTTTAATCAAACTCCAAATTTCCTACATGCCAAACTACTTTTAAATACATGACTTGCTACTGAATTAGAGTGCTGTAATATGAGGACCCACGCTTTGCTGTGATCATAATGGTATTAAACAACAAAATAAGCAAGATAACTAACATAGTATAGCATAATTTTCTTCACCAGCTGAAATGCTTCCATAAATTATAGTAATTGTTTTAATGTACTCTGGACAGGGTGAAAAGTATACTAGATATTCCAATAACTGCATTCACTATAAAAAAAAATTGGTGAAACCAAAAGCTCATGTTTGGTCCTTTCGCCTTTGGAAGAAAAATTCTCTTGCAGACTAACCAAACAGAATTTAAGTCCAGTCAGGAAAAAAGCAAGCATCACAATTTTTTCATGTCAATAGGGCCACTCGCGATGCATAATCCATAATGAATTTTGCAGATTTAGATCTTTATGCTAGTGACACCTATAGCTATACCGTTTACTTGTATTGTCGAAAGCAGAGTAAGTAGAAATGGAGCAGAAACTCACGAGACATGGAAGGCAGGATGATCGTTAACACTTCAAAGTGTGATGTGTGGCTGGATAGGGGTTTCTTGTTTGCTTGAGGGTTTTATGTACCTTGGGAAAGCTTTTCAGATTTGGGATAGAGATGCCAAAGGAGAGACAGCCAAGAGTCCCTCATTTCAAGACAGTCAACTGTTTACAATGCAAAGGGTGAAATCCGTGTTATTTCTGACTGCTCTTACTCACTCTAGGTAAATTATTAGCTATTTTGTAATCTTTCTTCAAGATTTCAAGTTAGGTGTTAGTGTTGAGCAAAACCTCAAAAATGCTCATTAAGATAAATTTTAGCATTTTAATCTGGTTCAATTCAAGAGATTTTTAAGTCCTTAGGTTAAAATGGGAATAATGACTGCTACTGGTAAGTGATATTAGTATTATTTTTTGAACAAATGTAAATATATTGTTGTTGTTGTTAAATAGTTCAAGGATTTTTGAATAATTATACAATTCTGGCAAAGCTCTCATGTCAAAATATAAAGCAGTACTGCAGTTAATTGTAACTTCTTCCTTTACAGTAAACTCTGAGATTTATTCCTTTGATTCTGAGTTGGATTATGTAGAAGAGAGGTTATCTGTAAGGAAAAGATCCCACTTTCCACACTCACCCCCAAAAACATGGTGTAAATTACCTTTTCAGGGGTAAGAGTTGATGATGATGCAGGATTTAATCCATCTTTTTTCAAGGTTAATTCAAAAGGTGCCTACTGCCATCAGTAGAGGTTGAAGTAAATTCTTGTTAAAGACCTAGACATTCCTGTACATTAAACATTAAATAAATACTCTTACTTGTATGACCCATGTACACAACTCTACTTGCATTCTCTTTTTTTTATATATATATTTATATATGTCTCCTTTGATTAGGCAATGCTGGATGTTGCAGCACATCATGGCTGGCTGGTGACTGCTCTGAATATCACCGGTCTGGTGCAGATGGTGGTTCAGGGAAGATGGATACACGACTCTTCCCTGCTTACCCTGCCCAATATAGAGCCACAACACCTTTACCTTTTCAGGTATGTAATTCTTCTATGTATTTGCAGGTTTGCAATTTCATTCCACCTTTGATTGCTGATTGTCTTTGAATGTCATTGTTGTGCCCGAGAATGTTCATTAATGCACCAGAAGCAGAACTCATTCTTCCACAGTGACGCTTTCCCAAATGGAGTTTTCGTTTCTGTTTTCAATATTCATTGATTAACCTCCACAGATTATTTTGAGAACCATGATTCCAGACAAATTAAGAAGAGATCACTGGAAGGGATCCAAATCCTAACAAATCTAACTCTGTATATTAATTATCTCTTTATTTTAATCCATTATAAAAATACATTAGTATCCATCTTAATATCATAGATAATGCTAAGCTCTACAGATGCCTAGATGATGCAGTGATTAACGCTACCCAAAAATAAATGACCGGCATTTAATAACAGAAACCAGTATCATAATAACAGAAACCACCAAAACAACTGAAAACAAATGTTTGCTTTCCTTCCCCGGGCATATGTTTTGCTGTCTGTAACAGGAAGTGGAGCCAAGGCAAAAGGAAGAGTGTGCATGGAGGTTACCAAGGACCTATCGAGTGTCTGCCCGAACTAATGGCTGCCTGCGAAGGAAAAGAGAATGTTTTTGCTTCCATTCTGGACAGTGAATTGCAAACAGCACACATTTCACAGGTAATACTTTCCATCCGTGGTCATTGTCAGTGTGATTGGAAAAGAGGAGCAGTTGGGAAAAGAAATACTCTCTTCCCTTCAGCAAATATCATGAGATGTTCTGTATAAAGTGCAACACATTCATTGCTCTAATTTCAAGGTACTGCTAGCTTTACAGAGGTTCTTCTCTGCCTGTTTTCTTAATATTATTTTCACTTATTCCCTGCTAACCAGTAACAGAGTCTGGTTTATGGCTGATATTACCACATCTCTTTGCTCTAAAGATGCTTCTTTAGGTCATTCAATCTGCTGAGTGTTATCTACCTTTTCAGAGCCAGCTATGCACTAGGAATACATGCATTGCAAATGCCATCATAGCTGGTTTCTGAAGTGGTCTGTCAAACACCATTTTTTTCTAACAATACCCTCAGTAAAAGATCCAGCACACATTTTCTATTTGAAACAGAAAAAGCAGATAAAATTTTCACATTTCACAGGGGAAAGAAAAAAATACTATCTCAAAATGTAGAGGCTGCTGGAGGCTTATTTTCAGTTTGGTTTTTCAAGCCATTTCCAGCAAAGGGCAGCTATATTCCATAGTATTCATCACCTGCTGAGCTTATTGATTTCAAATAAATGTACGAAAGATGAAAACTTCAAAAGCTATACTTCAAATGGTTTTTCTTTGAATATTTAAAAGGACAGCAATATGTCCCGTGTTTGACTGTTCAGCTTCAGTTAAACCTTTTACTGGTATGCAAACAAGAAGAAAAGTACTTAAATGTCTGTAACAGACATCTGCATTTGTAACTAAATTAACATCAAAATTTTGAATTAAGAAAATGTATTGACATCAAAACAAGGCTCCCTTTAACAACAGATTTCTAACATAATACACATTGATTTCAGTCCAACTTTTAGATGCGATAAAAAATTAGAACATTGTTATAATTAGTTCAGGGAGAACTCAGAAGTAAACTTACTTAATTTATTTGCATAAATTGCCATTCTGTTATCTTTAAAAGCAAATGCAAATTGGCTCTGTCTGATATGATGATGGTTATTTGGCTCAAAAGTGCTTCAATTTGCGTAGCAATCTGGTGTCGTCTCTGCAGTGAGGCGATCCCAGGTAACATACAAATCCTGAATTATTCCAGAAATTAGTATGTTTAAAGCATCAATTTAAGTGCTAATTGCAGTAGTAATGAGAAAAAGCAGTACTACTGTGAGATTTGCATCTACTGCCCCATCAGTATGCCTGGAACGGCTGCTGACTGGCAGAGGATTTGGCTGCTAATTAAATAATTGTATGCATGGCAGTGTTCTCGCCTGATTCAATAGATGAAGATTAATCCTCAGATAAATATGTTTGGCTGGTATTGAAATGTCTTAGCAGTTTCTTCAAAAATAGCTTGTGTGTATGTGGTGTGTACGTTCACACTGTGAATGACTCTGTGCCTCTATATGTCTATGTTTGTAAATACAGATGCATATAAGAGGGAAAAACATAATGCCTTAGCATCGGATAGGCAGAACGTTTCATTTCTGTGAGCTGGGAATGGCCGTATTGGGTATAGCAAACCCATGACTGGATTATGCAGGTTGTTGCAAATGTGAAACATCTATACCAACATTTTATGTTCTTTACTGCATTTTCTTCAGGAAAAAAACCTATTGTAATACCTTGTGGAGAATTAAAATTCATATTCAGACTGCCTGTTGAGTGCCTTCACATGTAAAGGCCTTCAGTGCACACTTAGACAGGGGCCAACCAAGAGAAAAATTCTTCAATAAAATATGCATCTTTACGATACATTTTCTATAAAGAAAGAATATAAGATTACAGAGTTTAAGCCTAGCATTCTGGCATCAGACCTGAACAAAGTCAAATACAGTGGTAAGTACACCACTAAATTGCCAGAAGCCTTCTTTTCCTAACAAACCTTTTACTGCTTAATCACAGTATATTGAACCTGTATCCTAAACCTGTTTCTAGCATGAAACTGGTAAAAACAGCTTAAGCTTTACATAAATTTGAGGCAGACAGGAAAACGAAGAAATTTCACATTTGGAAAGAAAAAAATGTCTTTTAAGCAGACTGGTAATTAATTTTTAAATAGCAGCTCTTGAAGCTGCTCATGGATTTGGAATATTAGGCTAAGTCCAGGGGAGACAGATTATTGGCAAAAATGCTAATGATGTTATCAAAGGTTCATGAAGAATTTCTCATGTGATTATGATTTGAATCCACGGGTTTGGTAGGTAAATATATATGTAGTATATATGTACATGCACACATTGGGCATGTTGATATATTTAAAAGGAGATAACATGGACTTGTGTCATCCTATCCAGCAAAAAAACCCAGTAAAATTGTCAAGAGATACCTAAATAACGTGTGGGCCTGAGTTTAATTTTCCAAAAGTTAGTTATAATCCTAAACCCCATTGAAAATCAGCGGGGCTTTAAACACTGACAGCCTGAATTCAAAAACTATTTAGTCTGTAACTCTGATTTTTGGGCTAAGCTCCATGTTTATTTCAAAGATTCATTCTGAATCATAGTTCTTTAACAAATCTTTTTCAGTTGCTAAATCACTTAGGCATTAGGCACCTTTTAAAATACTAAGCTGATATTTGTATTATTGAAAGAGAAAAAAAGAAACTTCAAGATTGAAAAAACAGTATTATCCCTGCTGTAGTATTAGCTGCTTTTACTCTGGAAGTATCTGTGTTCCTGTAATCTTTTTCATTTTCAGCTGCTACTGCTTGACTTTTTTCCTCACTAAGAAATGCATTTCTTCATTTTTTGCACCTTGCGTGGATGATAAAAAGGCAGCCTGCTGCCCATACTGTATCAATGATTACTTTGCCTTAAATTTTCAAATACACAAGGCCTGGAGAATGACATATTACAACTACTTTCTTCTCTAATTAGAAAGTTACTCAGAGTTACTTTGCTTTGTTTGCACTTTAAAAGCTACATGAGAACATGACAGCTTTTGACAAATAGAATATATTGGGGCTGTACAGTATAAACCAGACCAAATCAGTCTTCAACAGAGCGACGGGTAACGCCACAGAAGGAGTTAATGCGTTATGATCTCTGCTGAAATTAAACTTTGTTCTAACATCATTGTAACAGGTCTTGTCCTCTGAGACAGTACACATGCAAGTTTTCCAGGTAAATGATATCTAAAGTACAAGCAAAGGGGTGACCACGGGTTGGTATCTATTAGGGTGCCTCTACTGAACGCAGCAGCAGAACACTGCATCAGTGCACAGAGAGTCACACACAGTAGGTCCGTACAGTTCCTGCGGTAAGCTTCATCTTATAAAGCTTCACATTAAACATAAAATCATTTGCCAGTTAAGGTGTTACTGCTCAGGTTGCCTCATCCAGTGTCATCTGCTGGAGGTGATTTTAGTAGTGTCTTGTGTGTTAAATGTAGCAAAATCCTGGCAACAACTAATGAATTAAGAATGTCTGTGGTGTTTTTTCTCCTTCTTCAAAGTGCTGCCTTTTTTTCCCCATTTTACCTTTCAGAGTTGGGACAAAGAGGGATATCTCTTCCCTTAACGTTCTAGCTGTTTATTTTCTGTTATAATTTTCCTGTCCTTTCTTAGCTAAGGCGCCGTTAAGAACATCGGTGCAATTCATCGGTGTCCTCTGCTTCTATACTGCCATTCCTGAGCGCTCACAGCTGGCCCTCCCCACCTTCCCATTGAACGGACACAGCTGTTCATGCAGCACACAGGAGGGAGGAGAGAGAGATTAGGTTTTAGCCTAAATCAGTTTTCTCATTTAGTTCAGCCAGGCTCTGGTAATGCAGCCATTTTAATCCAACATAAGTCTGCGCGGCAGCCGAAATGGGCAGTCCTGCCCTCCCCGTGCCATTTTCACCTCTCCTGACCTAACTGACTGCACAGCTGCACAAATGCTGTGGCTGGTTCGGGCAAGGAGGTGGGAACGAGCATCTGGGGATGAGGGGAGGAGGCATTGCATCAACCCTCTCGCTGACAGTCAAAATGGCCTGTAGCCAAGTGGCTACGTGAATGCTGGTGCTAGCAGGGGAGGAGGCTGGACCACTTCTTTCAGTGGCTCTGGAGGTTCATGCTTATTCAGAGTACTCACAGGATTAGAGACTATGCTTCCACAGTCAGCTTTAAGCTGATCTAAGTTCACGCTGTCACCAGAATGATTAGCAGGCTGATCCATCTAGCTGTGCAATCACAGCATGGCAGTGCCAACGTACGGGGGATGGAGAAGGGGACAGCTAGCTGGCGGCGGCGGGGGACATTGGGGAGAGGGACGGCACCACCTTTTCCTATGGCAGCGAGATCTTAGGTCTGCTTGCCCTGGTTGCTGTATCCCTAACTATGTATTAACATATACCGTTAGTGTCAGTACAAATCATGGCAATGATGTCTCCAAAAAGCAAACTGAGTTTTTATTAGGGCTCTAGATCTTCTAGCACAGAAAAAGCAATCAGAGACACATCAAGCACCGTCTAAGTGAAAATAGATTTTGTTGAAACACAAGATGGTCAAACAAATGCATGAAAAACAAAATATACTTTAGTCTTTTTCTAGTTAAAACACTTCTGTTCTGTGCCAGTGTTGCCCACACAACTATGGCTACCCTCTTCATTCCCACAAGTTCCCATTCTGGCATCTGCTGGCTCTTTAGCAAGATGAATCTTCTTTCCTTTTTCTCATTCCCACTCTCTAGCTTTTCATATGTCTTGTTTGAAAACATGGGTGAAGTGCTGATTCCTCTTTTGTTTTGGGGGTAGAGGGGAAGGAGGGCAGGGCAGAGGGTGGTTCTTGGTTTTCTGTTTGTTTTTCTTCCAGTGCCAGTCTCATCTATCTTTTTCAGCCATAGTGAGGCCACAAATCACTGCCTCCATTCCACAGCCCATTTTTCCATTTCTTCTTCCTAACAAACTGCATTGAATGAACACACTGATTTTCTTTTTACTAAGTAAAAGCCTGCGTTACGCCTCTCCATTTTTGTCACAGCTTCTCAGAGCTGCTTTTCCTTGTATGATGGAGACCAAAACGAGAGACACGTAGGGCTGCACGTTCGGGACGCCTCTTTAAGTTTGAAGAGAGTGTCACGTTCAGCTGCACAAATTGCATGCCTCTAACAGTTCCCTGTACTGAGAGAAAGCTGAGGGCCTGTTGCAGTTCATGAGAAACCACAGAGACTTAGGATTCCTCAGGAGGCCTGTGACAAGGAGGGTTCGTGAAGATTGATGCAAGAAAACCTTAAAAAAAAACCCAGGGATAACTTTGGATATGCAGTTGAACTTTTGGTTAATTATCTGAACTGATCCTCTGAACTCTCTGAGGTTTGCCCATCGCTAATTAGCACAGCAGCGACTTGTTCTTTATGGATTATGCTAAGGAAGTTTAATTTAAAACTTAATTATACTAGTTTTTAAGTGGCTTATAGAGAAAAAATACTTTAATCAGGAGTGGTAAGGAATTTTTCCTCTGTTCAGACATCAGTAATCTTAGTGAGGCATGTGTAATATGCTTGCGTAGTTTCACATTTGTTTTATTTGCTTAGAAGAAAGTCAAGTAATAAGAGGTTAATGAAAAATATTTTATGCTTATGATTGAGAGTCGTATGATTATATATTATATTCTAATACATAATAAAGTATTATTCATATAGAAAAAATATGTAGACTGCACGCTGAATTGTTACCGTGACAATGACTGTATAGATTGTCTTGTAATCCGCAGGGATCTGTTTTTTTCTACAGGCTTGGAATTTCTTGTGTCGTTTGCCAATTCTAAACGTCAGCCTGAGCATTAAGGGCTGTTGGGATGACCCAGTTCAGGCACAGAACGAAGTGCCTGTTCCTTCTTTGATAACAGACTCGCGGGACGACAAAAGATGGATCAAATTACATGCTGATCAAGAGTATGTGCTCCAAATAAATCTGCAGAGAACCCAGATGGGGTATCAGGTAGATGAATTTATCATTTCCTTCCCAAGTGCACAAGTTTCCAATAATCCATTTACCTTACCAATAATGCTTTATACAGCATAACGGGGGGTTTTATGGTTTAAGTATTACATAAACGATAAACACTTTCAAAGCCTTTTTTGTGTTAGTAATGAAACAAATGGTTTTTCAGGATGCAATAGACCCTTAAGGTAAAATCCCAGACCAGTTCAAGTCCATGAAAAAAATCTCTCATTATTTTTTACAAACCAGAAACTCATAAGGTTCATTTCTTTGGGTACTATAAGCAGTGACAGTAGAGATGATAACTTCACAGGCAGAATTTAAGTCCTGGCCAGCCCCAAACTCCTACCTCTCGTACTCCTGCATATCTTGCTTCCCCAAACCAGTTTATAAGCTTCCCTATTATACTCCCATGTATCTCCAAACTCCATACCAGACCTATACCTACAAATATGCTTCTACTCGTAACACGTCCTCAGGCCTTTACTGAGGACATTTCCCTCGTATTTTACACCTGAAGCTTTTTTTAACAGCTCCTGAAACAACTTCTACATGCAATTCTCTTCCACGCCCAGATTTGAGTCACACCCCTTTGCCCAGTTAAAGCACACCCCCTTTTCTGTTGGGCTGGTCCCCTCACTGGGCCCGCGGCAGCAAGGCTTCACCTGCCAGGCCAGAAACACGAGCAGCCGCCGGGGTTTCCCACTGCTCTGCCCCGTTTGTCGGCTCTGGGAAGAGTTAAGATCATGAGGCCTCCTGCATCCCAGTCGGGCACTGCTGACGCTGTAGCTCTTACCTACAGATGCATTTTTTTGTCATTTGCATACCAGGAGTGGCATATGGACCACTGGGATTACAGTTTTGCTGATGAATTTCTCTAACATTTCACACAACTAAGAATGATAATTACTGGCATTTTTTTAAGATACCAGGAAGAGTTCAAGACATAAGCAGAGAAGAGTTTTAGATGTTAGTTCTGAGACTCTTCAGACAACTTCATTTTGATAAAAATAATAATGGAGATACATATGTTCTGTTGTAAATCCTGAAGTTAACTTACGTTAGTTAAAGAATTATATTTGAAAAGTATTCTTCTTTCCCAAAAGACTTCCTGTCCTCACTACAGCAGGTTCAGGTTCATCATAGCTTCAAGGGGAGACTGTCTCATTTGTAGGAAGGAAAAAGGGTCAAAGCTCCTTCATAGGTCATTCTGTTTGCTCTGCAGCTACTGACAGAGACCTTTCCTAACCAGAAGCCACTGAAAAGAAGGGAGTAGGAGCATTTCATGCAGTGATCCCTGTTTTACAAACCTCTCCCAGAATTTGATCCCTCTTTTGTAAAAAACAGGTGGATCAAACAGTTTCTGAAGCTTCATTGCTATGGTGGTGCTTTTTCTTCTGTATAAATCTTCAGTAAAACCTTTCCATCTACAGAACACAAAATGAATTCCAATTGAGTGCACATCATTACATCTTCAGCTTTCAGCAGTAAAGTCACTGTCTTAAAGAATCACTGAAATAATCTTTCCTTTTGTTATATCAACCTCAAATAAAGACTTCAGCTGCAGTTTTTGTCTATATATTAATCTTGAACAACATTGTTTAGCTTTATTTAAAGACACAAAGTTTACAATTAACCCTTCTGCAGAGAATAGCATTGGGAATACATTAGATTAAATTATGAAAAGGGAACATTATTTCCATTCAAGTTTTAATAGCTTACACAATAAGTGGAATAGTATCTTGTATTTGGGGGTTTTCTCTGTGGACTGAGATTTTATTATTTCCTAAAAACCCTTCATCTGGAGAGAAATAAAAATATTTTAGTTTGGCTAAATTATAGTCTAATGTAAAAATTCACAACAATGTGTTTTTGAGGTGTTTTTTTGTGCAAGGAAGAATGGCATTTCAGGAAGGTAATTTCCAGTGTTGCTGAACTGTTTCTTTTTCCTAACAGGGAAAGCAAGACAGTAAAGCAGTGGCTCCTCGATTCCCCAAAGTTAAAGATGAAGGATGGTTTTTGATACTGGGAGAAGTCGATAAAAAGGAACTCATCGCCCTGAAGAGAACTGGATATGTCAGAAATCGAAATACTGTTTCCGTTGCTTTTTATACCCCGGAAACTCCTGGAAAGTATGTAAAATTTAAAAATCAAGTTCTCTTAATGATTATCTTTCTCGAGTAGTCAAGACCTAATTTCCAAACTAATGATTCTGCTTTTTACTCTTTAGGTGTATCTACACCTTGTATCTCATGAGTGACAGTTACCTTGGCATGGACCAACAGTATGATATTTACCTGAACATTATACCAGCCAGTCCTTCAGCACAAGTCACTACAGAGGTGTCTGATGCTATGAGTCACCTGGCTCTGAAGTAAGGTCTTCTGAAAAGCCCGTTCAAAAGAACTGGCCTTGCAGCTAAGACATCGGGTCATTCTGGACATCCAAAAATGCGTTTGCCTTAGTGGAACCAACTTCAAACCTCAAGACAACTAGGAAATTGCAAGTGACTACTGTATTGACTCTGGTAACAGAGTTAGCCACAGTGGCCTTACTCCTTTATAAAGATTTGTCTCTTCTTGTTTCATCTCTCTTCTTTCAGAAGTTATGTTATTAAGTGAATTTTGACACATCAAAATAAAAGACTAAAAGCTATTGTAATGAGCGCAAATTTAGGGCTATAGTCTTCATTTTGAAAAGTGTTCTGTAGCCTATGTATCAATGTAGTTTAAACAGTCAACTTTTTTAATTTATAGGGAAAAAATACAAAAGTTGATCTAAGAACTGCTGAAAATATTGATGGATGTGTTATCTTTCATGTTTAATAAAAATATGTCCATAAGAATGTTTTGTATTAGACTTTTCAGTGTAAAATATGAGATATATAGTAACAAAATCCTCCTCTTACACATACTACATTTTGAAGGCAAAAATCTACAGGAAAAATTTCACAAATTTCATTCTATATGCAGTATATCTGCTTATAAAGGCATGCTAAACAGTATAAAATATTGCAATGTATATTGATCATAACTAAAGTTTGCCCTTTATGTGTATGTACATATATATACACACACACCAAACATATATATATATATGACATATTTACAAATTCTTTAGTGTTTTTCCCTGAATTTTGAAGGACTAAGGCATATGAAATCGGGTGTCCCATTCTAGGGTTCAGTGCTACAGTGGGCAACTACATTCTGTAAATAAGGGAGAGCAAGGCTCGAAAAACGTGGCTTACAACAGCCAGCCTGATGAGCAAGGAAGACTTCTGCCAGACAACAAGTAGCATCTAAGAGATGCTCAGCGACAGTACCACGGAGGCGCTTCCACCTGCGAGAAATAAATGTGAAGGGAGAAGGTAGCAGCATCTATCTTCTGCACAATACAGCGATTAGACTGCAGAGCTGCACATCCTGAGGTCAGTGCTCTTCTCAGCCTTAAGGGGATTCAAGATGCTGAGTGAGTACTTGGAGGCGACATACTGCAAAAACATCATGCATCTTCACTCAGCTAGACTAGACCTTAAACTGAATGTTAATAGTTGAACTTGTTAAGCTTTGCGTTTAGCTGATAAGCATTGCCTCTCTGAGGGATCATTTTGCTAACATTTCCATTGTGTTCCACCAGACGAAAGAATGCAGCAGAGTTGTTGCCTTGGAAGCTTCCCAGAAAAAAATGACAGTGGTGGTGCTGCACCCACATAGAATCACAGAATGGCTGAGGTTGGAAGGGATCTCTGGAGGTCATCTGGCCTAACCCTCCTCCTGAAGCAGGGCCACCTATAGCTGGCTGCCCAGGACCATCTCCAGATGGCTTTTGAATATCTCCAAGGATGGAGATTCCACAACCTCCCTGGGCAACCTGTGCCAGTGCTTGGTCACCCTCACAGTAACAAAGTGTTTCCTGATGTTCAGAGGGAACCTCCTGTGTTTCAGTTTGTGCTCATGGCCTCTGGTCCTGCCACTGGGCACCACTGAAAAGAGCCCAGCTCTGTCCTCTTCACCCCCTCCCTTCAGGTATTTCTATACATTGATAAGATCCCCCTGAGGCTTTTCTTCTCCAGGCTGAACAGTCCCAGGTCTCTCAGCCTTTCCTTACAGGAGAGAAGCTCCAGTCCTCTAATCATCTTCATGGCCCTTCCCCGGACTCTCTCCCGTATGTCCAGGTCTCTTTTGTACTGGGGAGCCCCAAACCAGACACAGTACTCCAGGTCTGGCCTCACCAGTGCTGATCACCTCCCCCGACCTGCTGGCAACACAACATTGCAGCAAAGAGAAGACTGGCTGATTTCAGAAGGTCGCTAGTTAGACATTAATTTATTTCACATATATCTGGCACCTCTAAATTGTGAGAAAAGTTTTTAAAGTAATCAATTCTGTAGTTGAGTGCTTTCAGAGATCTTCACATCACCTGACAATGTTAAAAAAAAATTATTTCATTCTCATAGATTGACTTTTGGCTAAGAAAATGGGAAAATAAAATAAAAAGTTGTTACTGTATTTACAGCCCACTAGATGATCCAACTGTCGTCTTTGCCATTTAGACTGTATCAAGATAATACAGTGTTGTGTCACACAGCAAACAGATTTTTTTGCAAATTGGTAGGCAAAACTTTGGTTATACACACATTTACTTAGTCCTACGCCCATTTTTAAGAGAATTGTTTTCTCTAATATGCAAGTAAATTTTCACAGAAATTAAGTCCTTTCTTTGGGAAAATTCTTGGCTGAAGCAATATATTGTCCCTCAACAATTTTAATTAATTAGGAAAAAGAGCTATGCCACAGTCAAACAACATACCAACACAGTGACGCTAGCTCTTGTTGCTTTGTAAATGCACATCGCAAAACAGTCTAACTGCAGAGTAGCAGACAATAGCTTCAGTATTCAGTGTTAATCAATTAAAGAGTTTCTGTTAATGTCATTTGTACCATTTGTGCTTTGGTTTGGAAATACTGTATTTAATTTCCTAGCATGTTAATTGTTTTTAGAAATAGTTTGGTGAAATTTCTAAACATATTCGAAACTTTTTTTTTTTTTACAAAAGTATTGGATTCATGAAGACAAAGTCTGATGTCATATAGAATGAATTTAAGCAAATTGATTAGAATCAGTATTTATCTGAAAAATCTGAGAGAAGGGATTCTGATGCATTTGAAACAACTGCTTAGAAGGAACAATCAGTATGTTCAATCCAGTGATATCTAATGGTGGAAAGTGAGAATAGCTGTCTAACAAAAGTATGAAAATCAAACACAGAACATATATTTTTTTAAAAGAGATAAATACTTTGGTGATGTCATTATCACCATTATGGATAAATAAGCAAATTAACAGCACATATAGAAATTTTTAATAGTAAGTTTCTCGTGCCAGTTTGCAAGCAAGTTTTTCCTCCCTTCTGGGAGCAGCTGCAGTTAGTGCCTGCCTGCTCAGGTATGATACTTCTTCCAAAAACTGGAAAGAGCAAAACCAGGCGTATCTTGTGTATCAAGATGTATTTAAGTCTGCCTATGTAACTTCGCCCTTCCCACCTGACCCTGTCCTAATGTGATAATGGCATCGCAGCAGTGCTCAGCAGGAGCTAGAGGAGGTTTGGGTATGTACAACTGTCCCCTCTCTCTTCTGAAGGAGCTCTTACAATGCAATCTGTTATCTAGAACTTTACTTAAGGTCTTAGTCCAGATCCTGAATGCATCACAGTGGCACCACGAAGCCATCTGCACTACTGCAGGTCTTTCTCTTCTGCTGGAAATTAAATCTTTGGAGGCCCTAATTTCACCCAGATGACTTCAGGGGGTTATGCTGCTGACCCAAAATTCCTCATCATTAGTTTTCTTTTAGAGACCATCTCTAGATGGTCATCCTGAAGGAAACTTCAGGAAGTCTCTCATCAACCTCCATCCTGGAGCCGAGTATAGGACTTGAACATTCACTGAATAGGCTGCATTTAAAGAAAGGTAAGCTTTGTAATTCCAACTTTCTGGTTCTGGGGGCTACTTACAAAGCAAAGACAGTATCCCGTGCGTATCTGCTCTTGCACATCACAGCCCAAATCCAAATTCCTATGTTCCTCCCTCACTCAAGACAAAGAGGCTGTGATATTTTTAAGACAGTTTGATTAACTGGTCTAACAGCCATCACTTCTGTAAGAGGCTTATTTACTGCAGCCGGTTCTTAAATCATCACTCTCGTGTCTTGCCTCCACCCCTCCCATTTAAGGTAGACTTCCCCTTGCCTCCTTCCACCACCTATAAACCCTGCAATCACACCTGTTCAGAGAGAGTTAGTCATATCAGTGGCAGTAAATTATCACAGAAGGAATTTTTTAAGCTCATCTCTCTAAGATGCGGTGTGGACACTATTCTGGCCTATGTAGTAAGTACTGACACAGGACAAAGTAAGGTTTGCAGGACAAGCAAACCATATTTATTTTTTCCACATCCTAATGGTCTCCATAAAAAAAAGTCTGAACTAATGCTAAGAGAAGAAAAAAACCTGTGTAATTCTGTAACCAGAAAGCCAAGCCACAGGTGGAACAAGAAGCCACCCCATCCATCCAAGTGTGCTTTACACCTCATATGAAATGGTAAATTTGTGTAAGTGGTTTTTATATATTTATTTCTTTCTTTCTTTTTAGTTTTAGGTATCTTTTCTTCCAGCTAAATTGCACACCTTGCACGCCTTGACTTAGGTGCTTACACACAGATATACAGTGTTATTTAATAAGCAATATGTCACCTGGCCTCTACATTCAGCTCCAGAAGAACGTGTGCCATCCGCAGAGGTGAAACACCATGCTGTTGTATCTGGCACTCTCAGTGGATGCCTCAAGTAACCTGAGGCATCTGAAATAGCACTAGGTATCTACATTTAGGTGACCAAATTGAGTCACATTATTGACCAAACAAATTGACCACATTATTTGAGCCACCAAATTGACCACATTATTTGTTTAGTCATAGATAAGCAATTCAGTTGCTTAACTGCGTCTAACGCACTTTAAAATTACCAAGGAGATTTCAGTTGCCGTGCCAGAAGACTGCACGTCTTCCATAGGTCCCGTGTCACTTCTGCTGTCCCTGTGCAGATATGTCAATATCATGGGGTGGACACCTACCTACTCAAGCTTAATTAGCTAATCAAGCCCATGCTATTTTATAAGTTGGAAGAACCATAAAATCAAAAATATCTCTTCCATAGTACAATGCAAGCTAATTTATGAGAAGGGACAATTCTCCTGCTTCATGAGAAGAAATACTTTCTGAAAAAAAAGATTTGGATCCCATAGGATGCCCAGACAGACACGTGGACTACAAAAAGGTGAGTGGGGCTGCTGCTGACAATAGTCACTCCATTTCTACTTACGCTCTGTGCCTATTCTATCAGCCTCCTTTGATTCCTACCTGTCTTTTTAAAAACAGGTCTTCTTAAGAGATGTCTTTTCAGAGCATGCTGCACTTCAGCAGACCCTGCCAAGACTTACTTCCACAGAAATTTTGACACACGCTTTTCTGAAGCAATTTGCAAAAGCTGGGGAATGAACTAAAAAAGTTTGTTATTAATGTCACACACACTGGTAGCAGTGGGAGGTTAA